AAATTGAAATTCTATTTTGGAAACCCATTAAAAGTGCGAAATTGGTATTGGACTTGAAAAAGAGTTCGGGATGGAGAAAACAACATAACGGTAGTGCCACATGTACCTATACCGGTTCCTATTTTCCGCTTTTTTTCTCCTTTTTTGTTTTAGTCGATTTTTTGGCATTTCACTTCATCAACAAATCTACTAGGAAGGTTTGGACGTCTCATACATGTTCCTTATAAATATTATGCTCTTCTATACAATTTTTATACTATGAGAAAATAGATTAGTAGAACTTTAGGATCAATTATATATTTCTCTATCATTATTATTGGTACAATAAAATCTCATAATTCCCTGCCATATTTTCTTATTTTATTTTATTTTTTCGCTTGTGATCAAATACTTCATTATTGTGCCATAGAACTTTAACATCCCAATCCGATAGTTGATTTCATATCAAGTGATAACGAGCAATATGTGATCATTGAATTCTCAACAATTGGTATCAGTAATTCTGAGCCTAATTAACACAATAAATGGTATCAGAGAGATTCTGATATCTTGTTTGTCTCACAACATGATGTAATGTACTTGCAATCGGATTCAAATTGTTTGGTTATGAAGATTGAAGTCACATAAATTGAAAAACATATAATGAACACATTCACGACACTGAGCCTGATTGATTTTTATTTTTTGAACAGTGATTTTGTGAAAAATGAATTTTTTAGAGAATGTGTAGTTAAAAAGTAAGAAAATATTTGAATTCAGGCGCAAGATTATTTTATTGAAATGATGTGTGATTCAAAATGAATTTAATTTTTTTTTTTTTTAAAATCTAAATCAAGCAAGGGCTTAAGCCCTTGGTCCTTTTTTTTTTTTGGAAAAATATTATTTTAAATAGTATTTTTTAGAAAATGTGTGGTTAAAAGTTAGAAAAAAATTAAATTTATGTGCATAATATTTTATTCTGTGAATGTATAATTAAAGATGAGTATATAAAAAAAATTTAAAAGAGATACACAATGGTCAAGTTAATTACCCCATTAGTCACTGAACTTTGGCCAAAGTTTCCACCAACTCACTGAACTTAAAAAATAACTTGATTAGTCACTGAACTTTCAAAAAATAACCTAATTGGTCACTGAAATTTAACAA